GCATCTGCAATCCTTATCAGTTAACCCCCTTTCCTGCCATAAACCCCAGCTTGTGACTTAGAAGTCTAAACCTCATACAGAAAGGATTAAATTCAAACCCCCGTCTTCACATCTTTCTTCAATACCAAGATCCATTTACAGTACAGTAAGAATTGTGATGGCTATGCTACTTTTAATTTTCTTTTCTAGGAGTGTTTGGAGTCTGGTAGTATTGTAATAGTTCTTTACATTAAACACAGTCTTGAAAGCTGAATGAAGTGACAAAATTTTCTTTTGTGTACTTGTGATAAAATTAAAAGTGAAGACTTAAAAATAACAATCAATTCAATCTCATTGTTTTTAATAAAGACCTTTAAGATTTTCATTCCTGTTTTTGGCATCCCCTGTGTCTTGTGGATTTCATTCCAGCTGAGCTCTAATCACTTAGATTAATTAAATCACTTATTTACATCTTTCATGGCTAATTTTCATGCGTTTAGGATATGAATTAAACAATTACCATGTCTGGAATTTAAGCAATTTAGCTGAGGTTGATCAAAGAATAATTATTAAGGGAGTGTTAGATGCATTTAATAAATGTAAATGTAATATTTAAGTCATGCTTTTGTTCTGTTATTGATGACCTGTTAAGGTTTGTTTTGACAGTTATAGTTAGCAGTAAATTACTGAATAAATCCATAACAATTTGAACAGCATTTCTCTCTTTCATTTCTTTTCAATGATTCAAAAGAATGATCAGCAACAATATATAAAAAGATCTCTAACCAACAAACCAAGGAATATTGAATATATACAGTCTGGTTAAGAGTAGTCCTGGGGATACAGTCTGAGACTGATGGAAACGTCACACATTTGCCACATGAGGGAGCTAAGACATTATTAAAACTGTCCTTAAGAAGTGTTTTATCCCTTTTAACATATATTATAGTGGGTCATAAACTACTTCTAAGCAACCTAAAGCTCTTAGAATGTGTAAAACAAATGTGTTTATATAAATTACGTACAAAGATTTTATAGAACTGGCTAATCCGATTAACATGTCGGCATGTGCTACTGAAGATTATTCCTTAAAGAAAGTATAGAATGTATTATCACACCAAATAAGAATATTACTTTACATGTACATTTGAACATGATGACATCACTCTAATTTTTGTAATGACTTGAGATAAATTCAAGTCATAAATAATTTTATGTTCTTAATTTCTTCAAGAAATGTTTATTGGTAAATGTTACAATAGTAGTTCAGGTGGGTAGCTGCGTCAACTTGCATAGGCTGCAGAGGAACAAGTAATAGGTTTATTCCAAAAAAAGACGAAAGACACACCTGAAGAAGGCTCCACGGCCGAAACGTTGTGTTTTCTTTCTTCTTTTTTTCCAGCATGGAATAAACCTATTTCTTGTTCCTTTGCAATATTACAATAGGTTTGGTCAGTGTATTATTACAGTGTATGCTGCACATGCGCAGTGGTATTGTGATAAAAATGGATAAACTCCCGAACTCCCCCATTTGGTTCTTGTGGTCAATCTGTCAGGAGCGTATGCTGACCTTTGTTTCTGTTTTTAATTAAGTCGGGTTTGTAAAGCATGAGAAGCAAAACAAATCATTAGGACATCGCAAGGAACATTTATATCAGAATATCTTTTACCATCACAAACTAAAGAAGAAGCTTTGCCGCAAAGAAAACAACATGAAATAGTATTTTCTAAACATTGTTTAAAGAAGTAGTTGATTAATCAAACTACCTGGTGACCTCTCTCTGGCTTCTTTTTTGGGAAGATAAATGTGGTTAGAATGAATATTCTCATCCATTTGATTTATCTTTTTAAGTCTCTTTCTTGCTCAATTTCTTCCTTGCCTTGTCTAACTTTTTAGGAATAAAAAAACCTAGGATAACATATACAGACTTATTAAAACCAAAGGAGAAGGGAGGTTCCAAATGCTTGGTTATATCACTGGTCTGCCCAGATAAAGCATAAAGTTAGTGTATTAACAAGCACAATTCTCTTTGTATGTCATCCATTACTCTTACAATCTCTACCCTTTATTAACAACCTTAGTCTACTGAGATGT